CCTAGTTTGTCCAATTTGTTGGTGTATAATTTTTCATAGTATGTTTTGATGATCCTTTGTATATCTGTGGGGTAAGTTGTTACTTCTCTTTTGTTTCTGATTTTGATTATTTGGGTCCTCTCTTTTTGTTTCTTGGTGAGTCTGGCTAAAGGTCCATCAATCTTGTTTATCTTTTCAAAGAACCGGCTTTTTGTTTCATTGATCTTTTGAATTTTTTTTTTAGTCTCTATGTAGTTTATTTCTGCTCTGACCTTTACTATCTCTTTCCTTCTACTTGCTCTGAGTTTTTCTTTTTGTTTACTTTCTAGTTCTTTAAGTTGTAGGGTTAGAAAGTCAATTAGGAATTTTTCTTTTTTCTTGAGGTAGGCCTGTAGTGCTATAAACTTTCCTCTCAGGACTGCTTTCGCTGTGTCCATAGATTTTGTGTTGTTGTGTGATAGTTTTCATTGGTTTCCAGGAAGTTTTAAATTTCTTCCTTGATCTCTTTGGTAACCCATTTGTTGTTTAATACCATGCTATTTAGCCTTCGAGTGTTTGAATGTTTTTGTTGTAATTGAGTTAGAGTTTCATGCCATTGTGATCTGAGAAGATGCTTGATATGATTTCAATCTTCTTGAATTTGTAGAGACTTACTTTGTGTCCTAACACGTGGTCTATCTTTGAGAATGTCCTGTGTGCACTTGAGAAGAATGTATATTCAGCAGCTTTGGGGTAAAATGTTCTGTAAATATCAATTTAGTCCAACTGATCTAGTTTGTCATTTAAGGACTCTATATCCTTGTTAATTTTTTGTCTAGAAGACCTATCCAGTGGTGTCAGTGGGGTGTTAAAATCACCCACTATGATCGTATTGCTATTGGTCTCTCCCTTGAAGTTCTCCAGAAGTTTTAAAATATATTTTGGTGCTCTCGTATTTGGTGCCTATATGTTTACCAGGGTTATATCCTCTTATTGGATTAATTTTTTTAATATTATGTAGTGACCTTCCTTCTTTCTCTTATTATGGCCCTTGTTTTGAAGTCTATCTTGTTAGATATGAGTACTGCTACATCAGCTTTTTTTTCATTTCTATTTGCTTGGAAAATATTTTTCTATCCCTTCATTTTCATCCTGTGTGAGTCTTTTGTTATGAGGTGGGTCTCTTGTAAACAGCATACATATGGGTTGTGTTTTCTTTCTTTCTTTTCTTTTTTTTTTTTGTTATGTGACCCTAGTGGGAACCGAACCTGGGACTTTCTGGTCCTCAGGCTGATGTTCCAACCACTGAGCCAAACCAGCCAGTGCTGGTTTGTGTTTTCTTATCCAATCAGCTACCCTATGTTTTTTTATTGGAGCAATTAAGCCATTATATTTAAGATTATTATTGATAGATAGTTATTAGTTGCCATTTTTATTTTATGCCTGTGTTCCTCTCTCTCTCTGTTTCTTCTTCTTACAACAGTCTCCTCAGCATTTCTTGCAGTGCTGGTTTGGTGGTGGTAAATTTCTTTAGTTTTTTTTTTTTTCCAATCTGTGAAGCTCTTTATTTCTCTTTCAATTTTGAATGATAGCCTTGCTGATAGAGTAGTCTTGAATTCAGACCTTTGCCTTGCATTTCTTTGTACACTTCATGCCACTCCCTTCTGGCCTGCAGTGTTTCTATTGAGAAATCTGCTGTCAGTCTAATGGGAGCTCCCTTGTAGGTAACTTTCCGTCTCTCTTGCTTCCTTTAAGATTCTTTCTTTGTCTTTAATGTTTGCCATTTTTATTATGATGTGTCTAGCTGAGGGTCTTTTGGGGTTCATTTTGCTTGGGAATCTCCATGTTTCCTGGACTTGTGTGACGTTTTTCTTCGCCAATTTAAGAAAGTTTTCTGTCATAATTTCCTCAAACAGTTTCTCTATTCCTTTCTCTGATTCTTCTCCTTCCAGTACCCCTATAATGCGAATGTTGTTATGTTTTGTATTGTCCCACAGCTCCCTTAAACTCTCCTCCTGCTTTTCAATTTTTTTTTTCCCATTTGCTGCTCTATTTGGGTATTTTTTTCTACCATGTCTTCTAAGTTGCAGATCCAGTCTTCAGCTTCTTATAATCTACTATTGAACCCTTCTAAGGTATTTTTCATAACAGTTATGTCATTCTTTATTTCCTCTTGATTTTTATGCATAGCTTCTATCTTTTTTTTTAAGCTGAAGTAGTTCCCAGTGAGCTCTTCATAATTCTTATTAAGTTGCTTGTAGTTCTCACCAAATTGTTTGAGCACCCTTAAAATTATTGCTTTGAATTCTTTATCTGACAAGTTGCTTTCTTCCATTTCCTGTAGTTCCTTTTCTGGTGATTCCTCTTTTTCTTTTATTTGGGTGTTGTTTTTTTGTCTCACCATTTTAGCAGTCTGGTAGTTCTAGGCCCAGTGAGGGATGTTGGAGTGTGTAGGCAAGTTGGTGTGTATCAACTAAGGCTGCTGTGCCTCCCAGACTGTTCTGGTGTATGGCATCTCTTGCCTGCTGTAGGTCCTGGAGGATTGACACCTGGTAGCTGGTACTGGTCTGTTGTGCGGGTCTCAGCTCCCTGAGTCTTGCTGTTGCTTGGGCTATAGCATCGCCCCTGATCAGCCTCTGCGGATGCAGCTGGGGACGAGTCTCAGCTACTGATCTGTTCTATTTGCTGCCTGGGGTGCGTGTGGTCCTGGTGGTATGCTTCTGGGATGTATGGTTTCCATTGGCATGCTTCTGGGGTTCATGGGTCCCACTGGTATACTTCTGGGGTGTGTGGGTCCTGCTGGGGTGCATGGGTCCAGCTGATGTTCTGCTGAGGTGTGTGGGGTCCTGCTGGTACACTGCTGTGTGCGTGGGTTCCACTGGTGTTCTGTTGGGTTTTGTGGGTCCTGCTGGTACACTGCTGGGGTGTATGGGTCCCACTGGTGTGCTTCTGGGGTACTCTGCTGCCTGGTGGGGCTCAGCTCCTGATCAGTTGCTGCTGAGTGTGAGTGTCAGCTCCTGGTTCACAATGCTACTGCTGCTGCTGTTGCCAGGGGGTACTTTCAGGTCCCAATTCTTTGCTGCTGTTGGGGGCTGAGGATGCTCCGCTCCTGGGACTTTGCTGCTGCTGGGGGGAGGGGCTCCACACCAGATTCGCTGCTGCAGTTGCCAGGGGCAGGTCTCAGCTGCCCAAGCCCTGCTCCTTGGGATGGGGCACTGCTCCTAATCAGCCTCTGCTAATTCCGCTCTCTTCATTTATTTTTTAGATTCCAAATGTAAATTAAATGATATAGTACTTGTCTTTCTCTGTCTGACTAATTTCACTTAGCCCAATAGCCTCTAGGTCCATCATGTTATCACAAATGGCAAGATTTCATTTTTTTATGGCTGAGTAATAGTCCACTGTACATATGAATCACATTTTCTTTACCCATTCGTCTATTGATGGGCACTTAGGTTGCCTCCATATCTTCACTATTGCAAATGATGCTGCATGAACATTGGAGTGCACATGTGTTTTCAAATTACTTTTGGATTTCTTTGGATAAATACCCAAGTGGAATTGTATGGGGAAGCAGTTTTGAGTTGGAGCTTTAAAGGTAAGCTAGAATTCAGTAGGCAGAGTAATAGTAAGTCTTGATAATTTCTCATTATTTTTCTTAAAAATAATCTTTCTTTACTCAAGGCCTTTTGATTGCTTTAAAATAATTATATTGTATAATTAAGAAAAAATACAGAGTACAATTCATATTATTAATTCTCTTTTTGTAAAATATGGCTTCCCTTTGGGGCCCCTGGAGTACATCCAGCATTCAGCAGTGGTTTTCCCTTAGAAAACCACTGAGGGACCAGGACAGGCAGCTCAGTTGGTTGGAGCATTGTCCTGATTATCAAAGTTGCAGATTCGATCCCGGGTCAGGGAACATACAGGAATCAACCAATGAATGCATAAATAAATAGAACAACAAATTTCTCCCTCTCTCTCCCCTCCCTCCATTCTTTCTCGCCAAAAAAATCAATTAAAAAAGGAAATATAAACCACTGAGAAACTGAGGACAATTCTGTTCACTACTCCCCCTTGACCAATCCATATATAATTGCCCTGAATGTTACACATAGAATGATGTTACATATCTTCTGGTCAAACCTTTTTTTTTCATAGATGTGGAAACTGAGGCCAAGAAGGATGAGGTGACTTTTCAAGAGTCCTCATGACTAGTTAGTATTCAGAGGCTGAACTGAGCTATCTCCTCTTGAGTTCTTGTCCCTCTTCCCTGTCACAGTGTCCACCCAGGAAGACATGATTCTCACAGCACATGTGCTTTTTAAGTTCATTCCTTTTGCACACACTTGTGTGAAAATGGTTGGCTTTTTGGCCTCCTCAATATTTCTTTTTACCTTTGTATATTGAGAGTTTAATGTATTAAATAGCTGAAACTTTGTATCTTGGAAAGTTATATAATCTATGGCAATTCCACGCTGCTTTTAGTAATCTTAGCGGTGATAGTGTTTGAGAAGCGGTGTGTTTGTTCTGTGCCGTTCAGGAGATGCCTTCTCAATCCAGCTGGGAGATGGAGTCTTAAAAAAGAAATATTTCGAGATTGTCAAAGTCTGAACTTGTTGTCTTGACACATTGGACATTAGAAGAGAATACTATATGAGATCATGGGAATATCTTAAAGAAGGACAGGTGTCTTTGAGATACCTTGTGGCAGGACTTAGTGTTTATGCTTATAGATCTAAAGTGGCTCCAGGGCCGATACTGTGTCTCTCTTGCACATTTCCACACAACTGGACTCTAGAATTGGTTATTGAAAAGGTTTTAAAGTGGTCTAAGCATTAAAATATATTAATGTAACAATAATATAATTATAATTACTATATAATACCTATGTAGTTCTAAAATATATTTTTGCTTGATTGAAGGAAATTTACCTTTTAAATTTTATATAGATTTTAAAAAACATAGAATAAAGACTTTATTGGTTCTTGCATCTTATTGTATTCTCAATGGATATATGTTTCTGTTATTCTTTTATTTAGGTTAAATACCTGTTTTCTGACAAAACTGGAACTCTTACATGCAATATTATGAACTTCAAGAAGTGCAGTATTGCTGGAGTAACCTACGGGTAAGTGTTTATTACTTATTGAAAATTTGTTTGTATTCTTATAACAAACTAAGTTTATTTTTATCTGCTTAGTCAAATACCTTGACTTTCTCATTGTTTGAAAGGATACTTATAGGCTTTTGGTGACAAATCCAAAAAAATCATTCCCAAAACCAATGTCAAGGAGCTAAGGTTACCACCTATGTTTTTTTCTAGGAGTTTTATGGTTTCAGGTTCTTTGTTCAAATCTTTAATCCCTTATGACTTAATTTTTGTGCATGGTTTAATATAGGGAGGTCCAATTTTATTATTTTGCATGTGGCTCTCAAATTTACCAACACCATATATTAATGAGACTGTTCTTTCCCTATTGTTTATTGTCGTCTCCATTGTAATAAATTAATTGACCATATGTGTGTGGATGTATTTCTGGGCTCTCTCTTCATTCTGTTTCATTGAACTGTTTTTATATAACACTATCCTGTTTTGATTACTATGGCTTTGTAATATAGTTTGAAATCAGAAAGTGTAATGCCTCTGGCTTTGTCTTTTTTTTCTCAAGATCACTTTGGCAATTTGGTTATTTTGTGATTCCATACACATTAGGATTGTTTGTTCTATTTCTGTGAAAAATGCCATTGACATTTTGATAGGGATTGCATTGAATCTGTAGATTGCTTTAGGTAATATGGACATTTTAACAATATAAATTCTTTTTATCCATAAGCATGAGTTATCTTTCCATTTATTTGTGTCTTCTTCAGTTTTCTTCGTTAATATCTATAGTTTTAGGTATTTTATTTTTTTGATACAATTGTAAATGTGATGCTTCCTTAAAAAAATTTTCACCTGTCGCTACGTTTTTTAAAAATTGATTTTAGGGAGAGAGAGAGAAAAAGAGGGAGAGAGAAACATTGGTTGCTTCCTGTATGCACACTGCCCCAGGGATTAAACCCACAGCCTAGGTATGTTTCCTGACAGGGAACTGAACCTGAGACCTTTTGGAATACAGAATGATGTCCCTACCAACTGAGCCAAATAGCCAGGGTGTGATATTTTGTTAATATCTCTTTCTGATAGTTTATTATTAATGCATAGAAATGCAACAGATTTCTGTGTTTGATTTTGTATCCTTCGACTTTACTGAATTTGGTCATTAGTTCTAACAGTGTTTTTGGTGGAGTCATTAGGTATTCAACATTTTATCGCATCACCTTCAAATAGAATTTTACTTCTTCTTTTCTGATTAAGATGCCTTTTATTTCTGTTTCTTGCCTGTGCAATATTGAATAAAAGTGGCAAGAGTGGGCATCCTGACTTGTTCCTGGTCTTAGAAAAGAAAAGCTTTCAGTTTTTACTGTTGAGTATGATAGATGTGAGCTTATTACACATGGCCTTCATTAGGTTGAGGTATGTTCCCTCTGTGCCCATTTTGTTGAGAGTTTTTAATCATAAATGGATGTTGAATTTTGTCAAATGCTTTTTCTGCATTTATTGAAGTGGTCATATGATTTTTATCTTTCATTTTGTTACTGTGGTGTGTCCCAATGGTTGATTTGCAGATGTTGAACCATCTTGCATACATGGAATAAAGTTTACTTGATCATAGTGTATGATCCTTTTAAGGTATTACTGAATTTGGTTTGTGAATACTTTGTTAAGGATTTCTGTTGACGATCTGTGTTCATTAGGGATATTGGTTGTAATTTTTTTCTTGTGGTGTCCTGGTCTGATTTTGATATCTGGATAACACTGACCTCATAAAATTAGTTTGAAAGTGTTCCCTTTTTTTATTTATATTAGAATTTGAGAATGGTATTAATTTTTTATTGAATGTTTGGGAAAATTCACCAGTGAAATTGTCTGGTCTAGAACTTTTGTTTGTTGGGAGCGTTTGTGATTTAATCTCCTTAATAGTAATGGATCTATCAGATTTTCTATTTCTTCATAATTCAGTCTTGGTCGGTTGTTTTATTCATTTTTTCTAGGTTGTCCAATTTGTTGATATACAGCTGTTCATAACAGTCTCTTATGATCCTTTGTGTTTGTGTGTTATCAGTTGTAATATCTCCTCTTTCATTTATGATTTTGAGACCTCCCCATTTTTTTTCTTGCTGAGTCTAGTGAAAGTTTTTTCCATTTTTTAAAAAATATGTTTTTGATTTTTTAGAGAGAGAGAGAGAGAAACATCGATGTGAGAGAAACATCATTTGGCTGCCTCCTGCATGCCCCCTACTGGGGACCGAGCCCACAGCCCTGGGCACATTCCCTGACTGGGGATCGAACTGGGACCTCTCAGTTCATGGGAAAACGCTCAATCCACTGAGCCACACTGGCCAGGTGAGGTTTGTCCATTCTTTGCATAGAACCAGCTCTTAGTTTTATTGATCTGTTCTATTTTTTTTTAGTTTCTTTCATTTATTTCCTCTTTGATCTTTGTTGTTTCTTTCCTTCTACTAACTTTGGGCTTTATTTGTTCTTTTTCTAGTTCTTTGATGAGTAGAGTTAGGTTGTTTGAGATTTTTCTTATTTCTTGATGTGTGGCATTTATCACTATGAACTTCCCTTTTGGAACTACTTTTGCTGCATACCATAAGTTTTTTGTATGTTTTCATTTTCTTTTGTCTCAAGGTATTTTTTAAAATTTTATTTTGTTTTCTTTTTTGAGCCATTGGTTATTCAGTAGTATGTTGTTTAATCTTCACATGTTTCTGATTTTTCCAGTTTTCTTCTTACAATTGATATCTAGTTTCATATTATTGTGGGGGGAAAAAAGATGCTTGATACAATTTCAGTTTTCTTAAATTTATTGAGACTTATTTTATGGCGTAATATGTGATCTGTTTTGGAGAATGCTGTATGTAAATGCCTATGGTTTGATCACCTGTTTTGTGACCACTCTGTTTTTCTCTCTTTCTGGAAGTCATTTTCCAGAACTGATAAGAGAGCCATCCTCAGATGATTTCTGGTAAGTAGATTCTAGCATGTGTTGATGCTTTAATGGAAAAGTCTGTGAAACAATTTTATATTGTCATGTCTCATCTAAATGTTTTGTAATGAAAAATTGCATGTATGTTATTTCAAGAGAGAACCAGAATAAAATTTAAACATAAATATGATTTTCAAAGTCCAGTGATACTATAAGCTGTAACAAAAAGTAGTGAGCCCTTGGTCCAGTACTTCTCACTCACTTTCCACCTCTTAGGGTAATGTTCTCAAGGTTGTAGTGTATGTGTTACATAGCATGTATTAGAATTTTATTCCTTTTAAAGTACGAATAATCTTTCTTTGCATGTGTACCCCCATATTTGTTTGCCAATTTATCTGTTGATGAGCATTTGAAGTATTTTCACCTTTTGGCTAGTGTTAACAGTGCTGCTGTGCACATTGGTACACAGTGGTGCTACACAGTGGGTCTGTTTTCAATTATTTGGGGTATGGACGTAAAAGTGGGATTGCTGGGTCATGTACTTACTCTATGTTTAACTTTCTGAGGAACCGCTAAACTGGTTTTCATAGTAATTCTACCGTTTTACACTCCTACCAGTAATGCATAATGTTTCTGCATCCTTGAACCACTGTTAATTAACAAAATAATTTAAAAAAACAACAACATTCCAATGAGTATAAAGTGGTATCTCATCATAGTATTGATTTACGTTTCCCTTAGGACTACTGATATTGTCTGCTCATGTTTTAATATTTATATACTAACAAAAGTGGTCAGTGGGGTGTGTGTGTGTGAGATGGCAGGGGCAGTGTGGTTGATGACGAACTGACTTGCCTGTGGGGTGATCAGCAAGGGTCTGCTATTTTATTAGAGGATTCCTGGATGTCAGTGTCTGTGGGTCTTTCTTGTGAGCTGATCAGTCTTCTTCTCATGAGAAGAATCCTTTTGTTTTCTGCCAACGGCTATAAATGTGGCTGCAGCTGTTACGGGAGCTGAGTGGAAGCACAGGGTTGGTGATCATATCTTTCAGCACAGACCGGGTTTCACTTGAAACTCCTGCTTTGGGAGGATGCCCTACCCTACTCCTGTTTACCCAGTGTCCCTGGGTCCAGGGCTACTCTGGTTTAACCTCTCTAAAGATAAACCTTTCATTTCTTTCTGGTGGCAGAAGGTTCAGTGACCTGGCTGCATGGGATGAGGGAGCCTGACCCCCCTCAGATGGACTTGGAACATGTCCTGTTTTCCACCTTCCTTTTATCTATCTCGCAGGCGCCCCAGCGGCCATTTCCTCAGGTTCACAAGGTTTTGCTGGGGCATCAGCTTGCATTTTGGGTGCTTCGCTTTGCAAGCTATTGGTTTCTGTCTTGTCTGCTGTAGTAAGCTCTGGTATCTATTCAGAGTTCCGACTGACATCAACAGTGTCGTCTCTTCTTCCACTCTCTTTGTCCTGAAGAAAGGGTTTCAGGAAGGAGTAGATGCAGGAATATAATTAACATATCACATTTTCCTCAGCGGGGTAGGACACAACCGTAACGTTGTTTCTTTTCTCATGATTTGCCTCTTTCTCTCTCCTATATCCAAGCCCTGGCCATAAACGGATGCATAGCTTGAACCCAATGATTCCGCATACTTTGCCTGAGTTGAGAAGCACTCTTGCAGGGTTTCCTAGTGGGGGTTATACAGAGACGAACTAAACTGATAATATCCAGGGTTGATTCTTTTCTCTGTTTCTTCTCCTTGTAGCTCTGTAGTTGTTTATAAAAACTTATAAAATATTTTAGAGTCAAGTTAAAGATTTCCTGTCACGAGGTTTAAAATAATATATAGTATTCCAAATCTTTAAGAGTTTAATATAAATATGTGGGCTTTTTAGGTGTGGTCTTTTTTGAAGACAGATTTGGCTTTGAATTATCTTAAAAGAACTTTTGAACTGAATGAATCTTCCCTGTTCTCTGCCACAGCCGGATGCCTTGTCACCCCAGTGAGTCGTGTGACTTTGATGACCCCAGGCTCTTGAAGAACATGGAAGACCACCATGTAAGGACTTTAAGTAGCATACCGTGTTTCTTTACTTATGGGTAGTGTCTTGAAAATTGCAATTCTGGATGTGGGGAAAAGATGGAGTCTCCCTTTTATGATGCTAGTCCTTCAGGGAAGTAATCTTAAACAAATGCTTTATGGTGAGCTCTTTTTATCAGTTAATATAAAGCTGAATTCAGTCTGTGGTCAAGTTATAAAGCAGCACAATAAGATTAAGCCGAGTCTTATCATGGACTTCTCTAACATTTTACATTTCTGTTGCTTTGTTTCTACTTTAGTATTTCTGCAGTACTGTTTCTTCACAGTTGTGAATCCACGAGGTCATGTATTGTAAAAGTGATTGCAGTATCCGTTGACTAGGATGATGTAGGAAACAAAAGTAAAATATTGTAACATGTAACAGTTATAGCATCCTACTCGTGCCAACCAGTTGACATGTATTTCCTGTGGCACTTGAGTCACCTCAGGGGAGGGAATGGGAAATTGCATAGAAAGATCAAGTTGGCCAGGAGTTAGTTACCCAGCAAAGGAATGTAGAAATGAGACTTGTATCTTAAGTCTGTTTGAATCTTAACTATGACATCACATTATCTCAACTATTGTAACAAACCAGAATTAACTGCAGCATTGCATAAATTTATTTTTTAAAGGCTACTCTGAAAAATAGCAACTTAGAAATGTATGAAAAAATCAAAGCATTTTATATCCAGTTTAATCTGTATACATTAGATCTAATATTATTCTTTTTTAAAAAAAAAATTTTAGTGTTAAAATTAGGTAAATGAGCAAAATTAAAACTTTATCTTTCTAAAATGTTGTTAAGAGATAGATAGTTTTGAGACTTTCTCTGAATATTCAGCAAAGAAATTTTCTTTCCTCTTTTGCTGTTAGTTAGGGACCACCTTCCTTGCATTGGTTCTCAAGTGTGAGTGTGTGAGGCACCCATGTCCATGGGCTGAGATGCAGACATTCTGCCTCCACCCCTGGTGATGCTGATGAAGTGGTCCCAGACTATACAGAGGATGTTGCTGAAGTCCATGTTCTGTGTCACAGCCATTGATGTGGTCCTTTCTTGGATTTTGATCTTAGAAGTGTATCCATCTTCTAGGCTAAAGGTTCTGCAAGCAGAAGAATGATGTTTCAGAAGAAATTTCTCTGGAGGAGTGTAGTTTTAATCAAGATGTCAAAGAAACAGGTGCACTGTGGTGACTTGGTTTCTGAAAGTAGATTCAAGTATTCTGAAATTGTATTTAGGTTGCAGGAAATAATGAAGGTGGTTGACTGAATGTGTCTGTTCAAGTCACGACGGTGAATGGAAAGGAGAAAGTGAAAAGGTGACAGAGAGTCTTAGGAACATGCTTTCAGTTTAGTTTCACAGTTCGTTTTCCTAGCATAGGTCAACAGGAAAAGGCAGCAGAGGAACTAGATGAGCATAGTGTCTTGAGTACTGTGGAATCGCAGTGTTGGCTTCAGAATAGCAGCAAACTGTTGGATCCCTGTTTAAATGAGAGACTCTTTTAATTATTCATTTATTTAGCAAAGAGCATAAGGGCCTAATTTATATCAAATACTTTGCTAGGTACTAGGGAAAAGAGATGAATAAAAACCTCTCAAGGGATTTCTGTTAATTGGGGAATCATACATGTAAAACCATTAAGAGCCATTGTACACTTTTGCATCTTAGGGATAGATGTGATGTGACTCCCTGGAAAAGTGATTTTGTTTTGTGCACACGGAGGAGTTTTTCTGACTTTCTTGGCCTGCAGGGGTCACTGCAATGCAGTGAACTACAAGCAGACACTGCTGGGAGTGAGGGGGAGCATCACAAGGGAGCAAATGCTGCAGATCTCTGGATGCAGCCCAATTTATTTGCAAAGTGGTTCCCCAGGTTACATGGTGTTTTAGGTAATTATTTCCTGGAGATGGTATCTCTGCTGACCATACAGCTAAGCCCAGTATATTACCTGTGTCTCGCTTTTTTCAGCAGAGAAACATCAAAGGAGATACAACAAAACAAGTTCATTCATGCCTGGGCTTTTCACCCATTGTTTATTTTGGGGAGTGTTCCAACCCTTTGACAAGCAAACCTTATCTATTCACACATATTTAATACATTCAGTTCAGACAGGGTGGTGTTCCAAACTTCTAGGCAAACCTTATCTATTCACACGCATTCTTTGATCCTTGGCTGACCAGGTCGCGAGAATGCATATCTCAAGGTTACATTTTGTTCATCCACCAAACCCCCAACCCTACAGAGTTTGATCTTGTCAGTGGGTGTTATGGCTACATAACTGTTTAAATGTGAGCAGTGTGGCCACTCGTACTGAATGGTATTTGCATGGACCTAGATGTGGGCTGGCATGGAAACCCAGTGGCCAGGGGAAAATCTTTGAAGAAGAGGTTCTTGGGAGATCCCCTGTACCTGCTGCTCTGATCCCAGTGTTTGAAATCTTTAAATACTCAACTTAGTTAATTTATGTACACATATAAATGCGTTCTCTGAAGCTGATCCCACCTTTGTGTGTCCTGGGTTTTTTGTTTGTTTGCTTTTTATCATCAATCACGTGCTCTTGAGCTTGTCCTCTCTTGACATTTAGTGGACACTGAGCATGGATAAAGACCCTTCTAATGAGCATTTCTTGTCCCATGTCAAGGGCATACATTTTAGGAGGAAACCCCATTCTTAGAGAAGTTAGTGAACTTCTTTTTTTCTTTCTTGCTTTACTCCTCACCTTTGACTCTCCTGAGCTGAATTTTCTTTTCTAGTGGGAAGGCCAGTGAGAGTAGGGGCAGCTGTAGCCCTTTATGAAGAGGAAGTCATGACCTAGGCGATAGGCATAAGCATCAGTGAAAACATGGAGACTTTTAAGGATATTTTAATGTGGATACTTACAGTTCATTGAATGCTTAATGAGTCCATGGATTGAGGAACTTATTTTCTATTTTTTAGTAAAAGCCTACTTGCCTATATTTAACATTTTTTAAAGCTTTCCAGGATCCTTGAATCCTTCTGAGGTATTCTTCATCTTGGCTATTGCATTAATTAAGCCCTTTGACCTTTAACATTTAGCTCCACTACAAAGGATGAAGACTATAGACTCCAATATATTACTTTGGAAAAGTGTGGGATTGAATTCAATATACCCACTGGATGTTTTAAGCATTTTTTAAGTTTTATTTTAAATTACAACTTCTATTCAGTATTATTTTGTGTTAGTTTCTGGTGTACAGCAGAGTCCATTGATCACTTGGTTATTTTGCCAAAATGTGGTTGAACAAGGGAAGAAGCCTTTTAGGGTTTTAGCCTATGGATATCCCACATTCTTATCTAAATTCTCTTGGGACCATTGACTAAAATAAAACATTTGAACCAAGAAAACCCTTACTTTCTTCCCAAGGGAGTACTTCCATCTGCTGTAGAATTGCTGTTTTTCCTGGGTCATCATTTCTGATTTTCTGGGTCCTTTAGAACTGTGTTTTAAGTTTTGTGATAGCCAAGATGAAATTTGCCTATTAGAGAATCAACTCTAGGAATAATTCATGTGGTCCCTTAATTATATTGCTTACCAGTGACTTTCTATTTGTGGAATAATTTTCCAAAGATTTGCCAAAGAAGAACACATAACTTTATTTGAATCATTATGTGTAGGACTTCTGTGCTTGAGTTTCCAAGGAGAAATTATTTGTATATGTACATTATTTATATACATTATAGCTGCAAGTTGGAATGCAAGACAGTTTTAGATGGTAGGGTTTTCTGCTATTTTTTTTACACTAAATAAATTGAATATACTCATTTCTAGATATTATAAAACATTTTGTACAGATTAAAATCTGTTAACTGGTCCGGCTGGTGTGGCTCAGTGGTTGAGTGTTGACCCTTGCACTAAGAGGTCACTGGTTCGATTCCCAGTCAGGGCACATGCCCAGGTTGTGGGCATGCAGGAGGTAGCCAATTGATGTTCTCTCTCATCGATGTTTCTGTCCCCATCTCTCTCCCTCTCCCTTCCTCTCTCTCTGAAATCAATAATGGAAAAAGAAAATTAAAATCTGTTAACTGAAGGACAAATATTGTGTGATTATAATTATATGAGGTACCAAGAATAGAGATAGAGCAGAATGGAGATTTCTAGGGGTTAGAGGAAAGGGAAAAGGGTAGTTATTGTTTGATGGGTACAGTGTTTGTTGGGAAGATGAAAAAGATTTGGGTATAGAGAGTGTTGATGAATACACAGCACTGTGAATGTATTTAGTACACTGAATTATACACTTAGAGATGGCTACAATGTTAAATATTATATGTATATGTTTCCACAATTTCTTTTAACATGTAAAAAGATACACACACACACACACACACATGTGCGTGTACATTCTCCAGTATATAATCAGTTCTTTGAAATTATAAAGCATTTTTCTTCTTGAAAGTTAGTGAAGAAAGTTTACTTTCAAACACAGAGCACCTGTCTAAATATATTACACACATCCATATGCTTCAAATTAAATGTGTTTCCCTACCCTAATTTGTTACAGAATGTCAGGTTAAGTAGAGAACCAAAGGTAGATTAATTTTGTCTTGGGGATACTTTTTGGTCTTCAGGAATTTTGTCTGGCCCCTCCCTCAAGGTGGGGACTTAATTTGAGTGTCTGTGCAACTCTTCTTTATAATACTAAGAAAATATTTTACTATCAAGTTTATTTATTAGCTATTGAATCTAAGACTCTTTTGTTGTTTCATCATGGGAAAGGTGATATGCAGGACTAGATAGTTCTCCAATGCAGAAGGTAATTTGGAAGTGAAATTCTGGAATTAAAGTGATTTTGGATACCATTTCTTAGCCACTCTTGTGGCACAGGCCCTGGGGAATCAGTGAATTCTCTCCGGGTGAGAGTTCACCGACTGTAATTTGATGTGTACTCCCTTTCCTGGCAGCTGACGAGACATAGCTGTGCGAACAGTTGTCGTCTGTTCAAACAGTTGCTCTTAAATCCCATTAACAGGTCAGAGGAGAGACTAAAATTATTAAAATTGTTAGTCACCATCAGTTTGTGACTAAACAAAAATAAATCCATAAATAAATAAACAAGGAAAGAAAAGAAACTCCATAGAAAATAGCAAACACCAGATTGTGTCCTGAATGTGAAAACACAGATCCATCTCACGTTCATAGCCAGCTGCCTATTTGTTTCGAAGTGAAACACTGAAGATAGTGATTTAAAGATAACCTCAGGACAAGGAAGCCTGTGTCACCTCGTCTTTGAACCTCATTCTGAAAGTGCAGACAGGTGAGAACTAAACAAGTGTATATACTGGGAAGGAAAAGGGAAAGGAATCATTTGGGGGTGACATCATTGTCTGCCATGGAAACCTAGGAGAGTCAGCCGCACCTCGGAGAGCAAGGAAGAGTTTAGTTACCACTGGATATTGAATTAATTTATAAAATTACATGTTTTTACTTACATATGAACAGTAAACTCTTGTACAATATAATGGAAATAAGATTGCACTCATAATATAAAAAGCACCAGCCTCACATATAGTAGGCATGCAGATATTTTTTGAATGAATAAAAATTAATCATATATATATGTGTGTGTATATATATTTTATATGTATATATATATGTGTATATATATATATTTTTTCATCCTCACCCAAGGATACTTTTCCATTTATCTTCAGATAGAGTAGGAGGGAAGGAGGGAGAGACACAGAAAGAGGGAGAGAGAGAAACATTGATGTGAGAGAGATACACTAACTGGTTGCCTCCTGCACGACCCTGACCAGGGCCAGGGACGAACCACAACCGAGGTACATGCTTTTGACCGGAATCACACCTGCGACTCGTTGGTCTGAGGGCCGATGCTCCAACCGCCAAGCCAAACCAGCCAGGGCTTAAGCATTAATATTAAAAAATTAGAGATAAACCACAGAACTTATATGCATGAATGGGTAACCAATGGACATGGACAACAAAGCTGGGAACGGGGCAGGGGTAGGAATCAGGAGGAGGGTGTCAATGAGGGAAAAAGGAGAAACATCTGTAACAAAAATAAATTAATAAAAATAATTTAAAAATATTTATAATAAATTAATGAATAAAACATGCCAGCACCCATATTTAGAAGTTTTAGAAAACCTTTAATAAGTAGAAACACATACATACTATCTTAGATGGGTAGACAGTATTAAGATGTCATTTCTCCACTAGTTACAAATAGTCTAATCCTAATGAAAAATGTAAGGATTTTGTGTGGGGGGTGGGGAGGACCAAGGAATGTATTGAATACATACCAACGACGATTTTGGTTTTGTTTTTTAAGAAACGTGGTGGGCCAGGGGCACTGCCATGCAGGTCATAAGAGCACGAAGTCAGAGTGCTGAGTCAGTTCTTACCGTGGTGATCTGGCAAAGGTCTGAGAGCCTTCTGTCGGCGCAGCCTGGGCGTACATTCGTGCGCAAGGCAGACAACCTTGGAGGGAGCATGTGGGTGGCAGGGGGCTGGGGCATCCTGGGATGGGGCCCTGGCTTCCTCTTTGTTCTCACCTGACTACATGGGCTAGCACATCGAGAACAGTGTTCCGAAAGAGGAGTGACAACAGCCTTTTTAGATGTGCTGACTGTTGAACGAAGCCCAGAGGATAAGTAAATAGAAGAACTGACTGAAAGTGTGTGAGGGGCAGTGATGGACAAGTAGGAAGGGTGACCGTTGTTGGAGGAACTGCAGACCCAAGTGGCAGGTAGAGAGGACAGGAGGGTGAATGGCAGGACATGGGGCTAGATGGTGAGCAGGTACCAGGTCACAGGACCTGGAGTTCACCCTAGGACCTCACCCTCTGTTCTAGAGGGAGCAGGAAGCCATCACAGGGTTTCAGGCAGGAGATGACTTGAATCTAACTGCAATGTGTGTTGGTGGTGGTGTAACAGACGGATTCACCGTGTCCTGCTTGTAGCCCACAGCTCCTTGCATTCAGGAGTTCCTCACCCTTCTGGCCGTGTGCCATACCGTTGTTCCTGAGAAGGACGGAGATGACATCATCTACCAGGCGTCTTCCCCAGGTGAGGCCTCATGGCCCACGTGCCCTGCCGTCCCCTTCTCTGGAGCCTTGGGGGTTTGCAGTTACCTGTGGGAGATGTGACGGTGTACCGTGCCCCACAAAGACCCCGCTGTTTGTCGCTGGCCCCACACAGTTACAGGCTATGGCTGGACGGGTTAAAACCATAGAAAGCTGGTGCTGGCTCTGCCGACTCCAGTAACACGTTGACAGCAGGCGGGGGCCAGGCCATCTCGCTTTTCCAGCAAAGTTGTCACTCTACACCGAGCTCTCAAGAGTGAGCGCGGTTGGCTTCCTTGCTCACCCAGTACCCACCGTAGACTGTCCAATGCTGGTGAAGCTGTGTCCTGGACACTAACTCTTCACCCCCCCCCCCCCCCGCTGCTCTGTGAACCCCACAGCGCTGGGACTAAACACTGCCTCCCTCAGGGAGACGTTAGTCAGAAAGTCACCGGAATATCCCTTAAGTTCACTAGAGAACGTGCCGCCAACCGAGGATAGTAGGTACGTAATCACTCTTGTCCCCATGAATTGCTTTTGGGTCCGAGTCTTCAGAAGTGACCCTGTCAGGCCCCTGGTGGGAGCGGGCACCTTCTGTACCCCGAGTGCACACGAGGCCAGGCCTCTTTAACTGGTGTGGGTTCTGCTCATTTGAAGAACAATACTTGCCGCGCAGAATTCTGGCGTTACCAGGGGTTAGTTCATGTTTCATCAACTCTTGATTGACAGATGAAGCCGCTTTGGTGAAAGGAGCTAAAAAGCTGGGCTTCGTGTTCACAGGCAGGACGCCGTACTCCGTCATCATAGAAGCGGTGAGTGACGTGCCTGGCACCTCTCCACCTTGTAGCTCACCTCCTTTCTGAGGACTGTATTTGAAACAGCATGTCTATTGTAAACATGGTAGCTAACTGTCTATTTTCTTTCTGTGAAAAAGTGGGCCTGTTGATAAACTAAGGATGTTCTGTGATTTTATTAGCTCATTAATACTGGTTTTGCGTTTGCAGTACATTTTCTCTCCCAACGCCGCCTCCCCAGAAGGGCGAGCGCGGTGTGGCATTATCTGCAGCGAGGCGCCGAGGAGGCCTCCTCTTGGAGCTGTGACAGCTGGGAAACAGCTCAGGCCCATGGCTTCGGGGGCGTCTGCGCGCCCTGTGGCCGCGGTGCCCAGCTGCTCTTGTACAGAGAGGCCTTGGCCCCCCGGCCGGGAGAGAGAGGAACTGGCACGACGGATCCTTTTTACATAAATGACTTCTTATTCTTCCCTAGAGTCCAGGCATTGATTTATTTTATGTTGTTTTCCCCTTACTTTCTCTCTCAAGAAGCCTGAGGGAGAAATTTAAATCAAGGAACACACTTGACGGGCAGCGGGGGAAGTGGGTGCTCAGGACTGGCAAGGCACTGGCGCTGTCCGTGATGCCCGGTCGGTGGGGCTCACAGACTCCAGTCTGGGTCGATGAGGACCTGGAGCGTCGCTGCCCTCTCCCTCCTCTGCCTTTCTCCCCCCCTCAGTTTACGTCCCTAGACCTCTTCAATGCATTTGAAATTCACTTCTACTGTATAATAGCTTGACATTGTTCCTGACTTAGCAGTAGTCTATTTTTTTATTTTCTTACATGCAAAACCTATAAAATATTATACTTTATACAAAGTGCCCATTTCCTGACATTTTTCAGTTTCTTTTTTTATGGAGTACAGAGATCAGCCCATATTCATTTTGACTTTATTTCATACAGCTGAGGGAATGTAGCTTCGGGACGTGTGCGGTCATGAAAAGTGGAACGAAGTCCTGACCGAACGTAGAATTTTTTTCGTAGAAGGCGTTTATAAATGTCTTCTTCCCTTTCGTTTTCAGGACCCTTTTATTTAGATCTGTGTGTAGGATGTTCAGGTGCATGGGCATCTGCATTGCCTCAGTGGGATCCGGAGACCGTGTGGACTGGCCGGGCTCGGGGAGAGAGTGGCTGCTTGTGCTGCATTGACAGCGCCGGACACTTATGGGGGCGCTAGAGAGCCCACTGACCTCACCAGGGTGTTAAAGCTGATGAAAAGGGGAGGGGGAGCTCACTGCTTGGTCATTTTATTGAGCTATTAATGCTATATTTCTGAGAGTAAAAAAGACCTCCTGATTAAGACTTATAAATAATAACAGTTTAAAAATGCTATTCAACCATTAATACCGGGGGTATTATCAAACCACATGTTCTCTAGGTGGTTATAGCTATTTGTATGATGTGGCCTTACTGATCATCTTAGTATCTGAGTTCTTGGGCTGCCCCCGGGAGTGGTTGATATCCCAGCAGTGCAGAGGGCTCCTGGCCATCACAGCCCTTGTGCCCAGGAGGCTAACAGTGGGCGCAGGGATCCGACGAAGTTGGGACAGGCTGAGGAGACAGGGAAACGGTGGCTGCAGGAAGAGGGGGTAAGGCTGGCATAAGCGGATGGTTCATTATATTTCGGGGTGCAAAGAGAAGTGGGGAGTGTTGTGGATGGGACAATAACGATTATTCAGTGCTACCAAGTGTCAATCGTGCACTTGGTAATTTGCGTGTTACTTCATTTCTTCTCTCTAATCTAGGGGACAGGTACTATCTCCATTTATAAGAAGGTCACCTACTTAGTGGAGACACTGAACTCAAACTCCTATCTGTTGAATGCCAAAGCCCACCTCCTTTTCACTGTGGTGTATTGGAGAAAGAGAGACAACATTTAATCAAAAGTTTGATGCCTGGCCGGTGTGGCTCAGTGGTTGAGCATTGACCCATGCATCAAGAGGTCCCCAGTTTGATTCCTGGTCAGGGCACATGCCCAGGTTGTGGGCCTGATCCCCAGTGGGGGGCATGCAGGAGGCGGCCAGTCGATGTTCTCTCTCATCCATGTTTCTACCTCTCTCTCCCTTCCTCTCTCTCTGAAATCAATAAAGAAAAAAAAAATTGAAAGTGGCACATATGTAATCTGGAATATTCTGGGGAAAAACTGAGAGTATTGAGGTTCCAACTTTGAAGAACCTGAAGAAAAGGACATTTGATTAATTGCCCTAAATTCTGATGCTGATTCATAATTCCTTATTTCTAAATCTAAATTCTAAGAAGCTTTGAATTCCAAAAGTTTTTTTCTAAATTTAGGACATAGGCATTTGGAAGTGAAACTGAACCAGAGCTGACACAAGGCTGTTTATAGTCTTTACGAATCTCAAGTGTGAATAGTCATGTATTTTGCAGACAAAATTGATGTGTGGTCTTACAGAGTGTTGCCCCGAGGATGTTATGTGTATACTTCTGTAAAACGTCTTAAATTCTGAATTCAGAAGTATAACTGGCCCCAAGGTTTCAGATGATCCTGTCCAGCTTGTGTCTTTTATTTTCATGTCTTGGAAGTAGCTATGCAGCCAAAGTAACTAGAGAAAAATGAGAAGCTTTTACCAGAAGGGGGAGCTATGACCCCACCAGATTGACCTGTAGGAAAATAGTACCTGTTGAAAAAGCTTTTGCAGGGGGATAGGAAGGAGAGAATGAGAGGGAGAGGGAGAGGCAGAGGGAGAGAGAGGAGGAGAGATGTGTGGAGAGGGTTATGACAGAGGAGACAGTTGTTTTGAGATTTCAGTATTTTGCATCTCAGGTAAGAGCCTGTTTTTCTTTCTTTAGATGGGCCAGGAACAGACATTCGGAATCCTTAATGTCCTGGAATTTTCTAGGTATGTTTCTCTTTTGTACATTTGAAATAAAATACATATATATACATAGAATAACTTCATCAGAGTGTTTGCACGATGGTATGATCAAGTATAGTACTTACGGATTAAATATAGTTCATGTATCTCCACAAGCCCTCTTCTCTCTGGAGTTTGTGACTTTCATTAGAGAAAGTGAAGTAGGTAAAATGTCTGTCTTTCTTTTTTTCCCCAAATGAAACGTTATGCTTCCGTGTCCTTTCTCTTTCGATTTCCAGAACCTGATGTTCTTACATCAGGAACCTCAGACAAGTCTGCATGATGTGGAGTATGTGGTGAGACAGGTGTCCCTTGGCTTCCCCAGGCCATCTGAGTACTCCACGTGGGATCTAGACACTGACAGAGGGCAGATAAAACCAGTTCATCCCAGACAGGCTTCCTCTGAGCAGGGTAGTTCTCCTGAGCTATTCAGACTCAGTCTCCCCCGTGGAGCTTATTTCACTTAAGGTCTGGGAATACTTGTTGGGTTGTTTGTTTCCCTAGATCACTCATAGGTTGTTATACAATTATCGTGATGGTTTGGTTTTTCCCCCTCATCCTTAACATTGAAGTATCCAATGACTCTCTTGCTATCTCCAAAGCATCTCTTCCTATTATTAAAATTTCCTGTTATTAAAATAAAAAGGTCAAAGACTTTCCGATGACCTTTGATAAATGATTCACAAATTGTTTGCTCTGTCTGCTTTATAAGCTATTTGGAAAAGATCCATTTCTTTACCCTCTTTTAGCAAACTCTTTCCAGCTCTAGACTTTAGTTTTAGGACCACAAACTTGAACTTGGGTGGGTCAGGAGTCCTGAGGATTGAGCCGTCAAGGGGAGAGAGGGTGGTTGAGACCAGCAGCAGTTCTGCAGGGAGTAGGGGACAGGCCCCTGTGTGGGGCTGAGGGATGTGCTAAACATCTGTCCCGACATGTGGCGCCCCCTCCTTGTGCCCTTGTGTGACGGCATTGACTCGGGCCAGCAACTATTGGACAGAGGATGAGAAAGGGAGTTAGATAAAAACAGGTGAATATAGATGGAGATATGAGGATGTGTTTAAAAAATCTTATGGGAGAATAAGAGGGAACAAAAAATAATTTCTGGTGGTAGTTGTGGTTCTATTTCATTTTAGTTGACTCATCTTTTTCCAGATGCCACTTAATCACTCCCCTGAAGTGGCACCCTGGCTTTACACAGAGACTGCAGTGCGGGGGGAATAACGTTGCTCAGGCACTTGCTCACGGTAGCTGAGAGAGAATTCGAACCCAGGTCAGAGAGAGTGCTGTGTTAGGACACAGCAGGAGTTTACACAGAGCTAGAGAGAGAACGGCCCTAGTCTCAGGAGCTTACAGTCCATGGAAAATCGCCTTATTGAAAAGCCAGAGACATGGGGGTCAAGGCCTCACCATGGCTGGGGTGTGTTTTAGGAGGGGAAGTGTCTGCAAAGGCATGGAGGGACTGGGGAGGGAGAGGGTGTCTCCTGGTGAGCTGGCAGCCGGGTGTGGGCGAAGAGGGGGCCGCAGGGCTGGCTGGGAGTCGCAGGAAGAGGGCTCTGGAGGCAGTGGGGAGCCACTGAGGGCTGGCTTCGGAGTGAGGGTGGGTGTTGGGGAGAGCCCAGGAAGGGGTGTCCGCGTAGGACTGAGGGTGGAGAGAGCATGGCCAGCTCAGGTAGGGGTCTGTGGACTGGCCGCTTCTTCCGCCCCTGTTAAAAGACAGGAGGAGGAACTTTTGAGTTAAGTGGAATTTTAGTGAAGCGTCTCCACTTTGGTCTTGCTGGTCAGGTTACTTGATATTTTTGAGCTGCAAAAGAAAGAAAAATACTTTTACAGAGTATTGTTAGAAATGAATTAGATGTACATAGTAGATGCTCAAATTCTCCGTTTCGGTGTCTTCTACACATAGCTATACCAGTGAGTTTTTATGGCGGGGAAAGGAATAAGTTTTTGTCCATTTTATGTAAATAAATAGAACAGGAGATAGACAATTAAATCCAGCTTTGAGGAAAAAGGAAGGGACATGGAGCTGGTCCCTTCAGGGTCTGCCAGACCACCTTTGGTTTGTGTGGTGTTTAATCACAGGACATGGGTCCCCTAAAGAGACCAGTGAGAACTTTCCTTTTCTTTTTTCACACCTACAGCGACAGAAAAAGAATGTCTGTGATTGTTCGAACCCCTTCAGGACAACTCCGACTCTACTGCAAAGGGGCCGTAAGTACTGACTAGTCCCGCATCACAGACGTTCTTGGTGGCCGTGTCCTTCATCTGCTGCTTGTCCTAACCCTGTCCTCCTCATTCCCCGGCCCTGTGCCCCAGGTCGAAAGGCTCCCTCAGGTCGGCCGTCAAGTTAACCTGGTCATCGAAGCCCACCGAGGGCCACGGTGGTTCAGGCCAGGGTGGCAAAGACGGCCAGTGACATGTTTACTTGTAGCCAACAGCTGGTTTCGGAGGCAGGAACTTGCTGTGTCATGGAAACTCCCGGGAGTATACATTCTGATTCCAGTTTGCCACTATTGTGTGGTGACTTTGGGAAGATAAAGCAATTTGTGATAATCTTTATACATACAGGTGGGCAAAACGTAGGTTTACAGTTGCGAGTATGCGAAGCCGAGTTAATAAAGCTAGTGTAATCATCATCGCCTGCTTGCCTTTTTCCACACGAACAACTGTAAGCCTACTTTCGCCCACCCTTATGATTACATATGTGAAGGTTGTATATGTGTATGATGTATGTATGTGTGTACTTAAAACAGCTACTCTCAATTTTTATGATTTATTTTTTTTATTCACCACAGAGGATTAGGTGGTAGGCACGAGGGTCTTGTCCATTTGTGGCCTCATTTTTACTGCCCCCTTTGGTCAGTTTCCTAGGTCAGACTTTTGGTCCTGTCTGCCTCCCAGTAATCAAATCTAAAAGTGTTATCTTTGAGGAAAGATGTTATTGTGTATGAGACTGACTCACAGAACTATATCCTGTTAAATTACTGTCCTATGTGTCGAGGAAAAGAATTATTAAGTTCATTTTATGAGCCTGTGTCAAGAGTATCAAGTTGAAAATCCTACTAATCTTTACCAGTTGTGGGAAGAGGCATTGTCTTATTTGAGTACACTTAGCTAGCGCTTTTCAACATCTGTAACAAAAATAAATTAATTAAATAAAAAACAATTTTAGAAGTCCACATAAATATATCTCCCATATCAAAAAAAAAAAAAAAAAAAAAGGAGTACTGCATGGGAATTCTAACAGCATTTTATCTGGGCCCATTAAAGAATTCTGTGTTTATAGTAACAGCTAGAATCAAGGTCACCTAGATTACGTTCTCACATGATAGGCTTTGTATGCTTTTCACTTGTCTGTTTGCCATCAGGAGATGCTCCCGTGGATTTTATTTCTATGGGACCTGGTTCTCTTCCACCGAATTCGATTTCTTTAAAATAAAATGGTGTCCTAGAACTGCCCAGTTTATAACGTATTGGATGGATCGCCCGTGCCGTCCAGTCCCGCAGCCCTGCTTGTGGGTCATGGGAGCTGTCAGAGGGCGATGGGCTGTCTCCCAGCCACGTGCCTCTCAGCCTGCCGGGTTCCCTGCCCGGTGGGTGGTGCCCTCGCCCGCCTGTTATGAGTTCCTGCAGTGTCAGGGAGCACGAGCAATTTAGGACGTGCGCTTTGCCCTTCCCACTTCTGCAGAAAGGTATATAAACCTTGGTGAGCTTTGCAAATGTCGGGGAATGGGGCACCATTGTGTCCTGCGATGTTCTGACACCCTGGTCCTCCCCAACATGGTTTTTTACTTTTAAAATTTTAGTTTTCAATTACAGTTGACATTCAGTCTTATTTTATATTAGTTTCTGGTGTACTGCATAGCGGTTAGACAATTATATAATTTACGAAGTGATCCGACAATAATTCCAGTACCCACCTGGCACCATCCGTAGTCATTACAGTATTCTCGACTATATTCCCTAGCCGTACTTTACATCCCCGTGACTGTTTTTATTTTGACACATCCATACTCAGTTTGTTTTCCAAAGCTCATGGCTGAATCCAGCTGAGAACTGTATTTCTACTTGCGCACTCAACAGTGCATATAAAATACACACCATAGAAACAAAGCTGTGTTTAGAATGCTGACCGGAAGGTTTACCTAACGGTTTGCCAATCTCACTGTTTCCTTATTTTATAGGACAATGTAATTTTTAAGAGACTTTCAAAAGATTCAAAATACATGGAGGAAACATTGTGCCACCTGGAATATTTTGCCACGGAAGGTATGTGAAATTTGGAAATGTTATTTTTAACCATTGAGGTCATACTATCAGGTGTCTGTGACCGGTGTCTGGGTAAGCAGTCATGTTCTGAATATACATGTCACACTCGTAGGAGTATACTTTTCTAAGGCTAACCCCTGTGCCCGTCCTCCACATTCTGTGTCCATGGCAGGGACAAGGTGGTGGCGAATTCCACGCTCAGTTACCTACATATGACTCTGCTAACTCTCGGCCGACTCGACGTGTAGAATCAGCTCGCAGTTATGGTTCCCTTTCTTGGAAAACTCATATGTTATTTTCCCGTCCCTCTTGTTATCCTTATGACACCGGCTTACCCAGTGTGAGGGGTACAGAAGAAGCTAATGGTTGAAGGAAATAATTCATTGGACTCAAAGAGGAACAGGAAAAAAGTTCTCCGAAAGGCTTTAAATAGCACTGAGGTCAGGTTTTCCTGCCAGTGCGTGTGGTGAAAGCTGGAGCCTTGCTCAGGTGCTGACGGCTGCTTCTGTCCGCGTGTTCCTGTGGCTGCACGCACGCGTGTACATGCGCACACACACGCACACGCACGCGTGCACACACACGGCCGCTCGAGGTCTGGATCTTTCCCGTGGTGGCACGTTGGGCTATTATGGCTGTCCTGAGACGTCCTTCCAGCCCCCTCTACTTGCTGTACCTGCTACTGCACTTATAAAGATGGACTCTGCACACCTCATACTTCTCCAGGGTGGGGATTCACTCTCATGGCTTCTTGTGGACTCTCAAATCTATAGAAAAGGTGGTTTATGTTAAAATACAGTAGAGTTGTTTTTTTTTAATTTTAAAAATATATATATTTTTTACTCCTCACCTGAGGATATTTTCCATTTTATCATCAGAGAGAGTGGGAGGGAGGGAGGGAGGGAGGGAGGGGAAGAGAGAGAGAGAGAGAAACATGGATGTGATGGAGCCACATCAACTGGTTGCCTCCTGCATGGCCCTGGTCTGCTCAGGGACAAACTGCAACCGAGGTACATGCTCTTGACCGGAATCGAACCCTCACGACTCATCGGTCCGCGGGCCGACGCTCTAACCTCTGAGCCCCACCGGCCAGGGCTACAGTAGAGTTGTTTTAAAATTTTTAGTGTGTGAAAGTTGAATGAGAGTGACCTAAAGGGCAGCTGGCTTCTTTAAAGTTTTGAGCAGGCTCACGCTGGCATGAAATGGAGTGACGTTAGCTAGGCGGTAAGGTATCCCGCTCGGCCCCTTCACTGGCGGCCTCATCTGGGTACACTGTGGCTGTGTTGCAGGCCTGCGGACTCTCTGCGTGGCTTACGCTGACCTCTCCGAGCGCGATTATGAGGAGTGGCTGAAAGTCTACCAAGAGGCCAGCACCATCCTGAAAGGCAGAGCGCAGCGGCTGGAGGAGTGCTATGAGATCATCGAGAAGGTAATTGCACACCCTCAGGTCCTGCTGCCCAGCCCACCTGCCGCACAGAGTCTCTGAGCAGGAACCCTGTGCTATCGAGTGATGTTCTCTTTCCTGGCAATTAACCATTAGCTTTTAATCATTTCTTACTTTGTTTTAGGAAACACTTAGTTTTTATGGACCGTCTGAGGCCTAGCCAGCTAAGCATTAGTGATGTCTAAAGAAGTTTCAGGTCGACACAGCATCAGCGATTTTCTGGGTTTGCCTAAGATTAGCCTTAACAAGATGAGCTCACCCTATTGAGTTACAGGAGCAATCAGAATCCATAGGCCGGGAGGACATTGTACATGCGGAGGATTTTCATACCTACTTATTCTAGTAAGGTTTAAGCTTTGCCATTTCTAGTCCATGTTGCCTATCTTGATTTTGTTGATGTTGTCATTTTCAGTTTATTCCAAGACATCAGGTAGCTTTCTACTATTGGCTTCATTCTGTTAAAGAACAAAATGCAACTGAGTGAATTTGAAGATCCTGTTGGCTTTACTAAGCAATTCACAAATGGGGCAGCACCCATCTAACAACTCTGAAGGGCTGAACAAGCAGAAGGTTTTTATGGGCAGAAGGATATGTCAGGGGACTTATTAGCAAAAGAAAAGAGAGGATTATTTTTAGGCTAGGTCATCCTTTGTAGGGAAGGGACTGGCAGGGGGTTTATTATGCAGATTACCTCACTAGCATTTCTCAGGAAATTCCTGACTGATTGGTTTAAAATTTCATTCCTGGGAGAGGCTAAAGCTGCAATTAGGTTAGTTATTAAGTTTTGGTTTAGTGACATGGCTTAGTAATAGTGACTCCATTTTGGCCTGTAGTTTAGTTTTTTTCTTTTAACCTCAAATCTGGGAGCTTGATTTCAACTTTTTCTGTCCCATATCAGTGACCATTGGTCCATCCAGTTTTCAGTTTCTTGTAAGTCTGGAGTCATCCTTGATTGCTTTTTTCATTCCTGTGTGGGAGTGTGTGTGTGCATGTGTTGTTTTTTAATTTTATTTCCTCTTTGCTTTTTTTATACTCAGTTTCTGACGGGAGTAGAACTGAATTCAAGGGTTTATTTGCCCTGCTTTACCAGAAACATCCCAAATTACTTTGAGAGTCAGAAAAAATCATTTCAGTAGGTGACATGCACACGGGGCCAAACATACATGGTGAACGCTCAGAGACGGTTGGCTTTCCTCCTCAGCTAAGTCAGTTTCAGGTGAGGTCAGTTATCAGTGAATTTGCTTTTCTCATGTTGTCACTATAACATAGTACTTGGGTCATTTGCAGAGTGTTAGGGGAGGGCTCACGTGCTATCAATACCCTCAGGATAGCTTGCCCACGTGTCCTCCTGCCAGGTGATTTCTGTTCTCAGGTGCCCGTGTACCCAGAAACAAATGAAGAGTCAGGGTGCCTGGGAGTATGGAGAGGTTCCAACCCTGGGAAGCGCTTTGAAATGCCACACCACTAGAGATCATTGACCGGCTGCCAACAAAGATTTAATGTAGAGGAAACGCGATAATTGTCTCAGAACATTTTGACTGCCTTTCTTTTGTCAGAGTTCTGCCATAAATGCTGCTCTTAAGGATGTACCAATGTTTAATCGAAGATGTTTCCATCTAGAATTTACTGTTACTGGGAGCCACAGCCATAGAGGATCGCCTTCAAGCAGGTGTTCCAGAAACCATAGCGAATCTGCTGAAGGCAGAGATTAAAATATGGGTGTTGACAGGAGACAAACAAGAAACGGCCATAAATATAGGTAATTAATTTTATTAATTTCTTTTGTTATAGATGTTTCTCCTTTTCCCCTGATTGACACCCTCCTCCTGACCCTGCCCCACCCCCAGCACTGTTGTCCATGTCCATTGGTGATGCATACATGCATATAGGTTCCGTGGTTTATCTCTACCCTCCCTGCCCCCGTCCCCCCTCTTCTGAGATTTGTCAGTCTGTACCCCGCTTCTAAGTCTCTGGGTCTATTTTGTTCTTCAGCTGGTATTGTTCATTACATTCCACAAATAAGTGAGATCATGTGATTTTTGTCTTTCTCAGATGGGCTTATTTCCCTTAGCATAATGCTCTCCAGCCGCCCCACACACAAGTGATCTCAAAGGACAGGAGATCTTTCTTTCTCACAGCTGCATAGTATTCCGTGATGTATATGTACCACAGTTTTTTGTTTGTTTGTTTTTTTATCCTCACCCGAGGACATTTTTCCATTTTTTGTTCAGGTAGAGTGGGAGGGAGAGAGAGGAAGAGAGAGAAACATTGACCTGAAAGGGACACATTGAGTGGCTGCCACCCGCATGGCCAACCAGGGCCGGGGACAAACTGCAACCCAGGTACGCGCCCTTAGCGGGAACCGAACCTGGGTCTCTCTGGACTGTAGGCTGACGCTCTAACCTCTGAGCCAAACCGGCCAGGGCTGTACCACAGTTTTTTTATCCACTCATCTACTGATGGACACTTGAGCTATTTCTAGATCTTAGCGATTGTAAATAGTGCTGCTATTAACATAGGTGTACATATATTCTTTCTGATTGGTGTTTCAGGCTTCTTAGGGTATATTCCTAGAAGTGGGATCACTGGGTCAAATGGCAGTTCCATTTTTAATTTTTTGAGGAAACACCATATTGTTTTCCATAGTGGCTGCACCAGTCTGCATTCCCACCAGCAGTGTACTAGAGTCCCCTTTTCTCCACACCCTCGCCAACACTTGTTGTTTGAAGATTTAGGTAATTAATTTTAAAATAATTCCCTGATGCTGGGTTTAGTGTTGTTTTTAAGTGCCTTGTAGAACTGCCTAAGGGCTTCTCAGATGTACTGAAGATGGTATTTTATAGAACTCTCCATTCTAAGACCATAATAATTGTACTGAAATCAAATAAAGATGGTCTTATCTGCCCATTCTACACATTAAAACTATCATATCTTTCTAAAAAGTATTAAACACACCTCCCTGGGATATAGAATTTAAGAGTTGATAACTTTGACTTTCTTATTGCTTTCTTCACAAAATTATAGTCTGCGAGACTGAGAGCACGTTATCACTGTGTAAATACGCAGTTATTTTATGTAATTATAACCAGTTTAATGATGTTATCGATTAGTAGGTTCTTCTGAGTTTTGTATTTTTCTCTTTCCCATCTGAGCTGGCAACCTCTTTGCTTGCTGAGGATCACAGAAATTAAAGTGGAAGAAAAGGAAGTTAAGTCCAAATAACTCCATCAGTGTTAAAGAATTACATTTTAAATTTGAAAAGGAATTGAAACTACTAATTTTAAAATACCTACTTTTGATTATTTGAATTGTTTGAGAATTATCTGGTACTTTGGTCACCATTACGGTGTAACAGGCGGTGGTACATATGTGATCAAATGAATGTGTAAGGACTACAGACTTACAGTGTTTTTATGGAAGTAGAGTCTTCGGCACAGGTCAGTCACGTCAGAAAGAAACATACCAGAACATCTGAGTTCAGTAACTGCGGTCCTATCTGGAGTCGTCTCTCTGGAATATTCCCAGCCGAGTCCACTGGTGCTCCTTTCCTTCCAGGGCGGGGAACCTTTTTTCTGCCAAGAGCCATGTGGATATTTATGACATCATTCGTGGGCCATACAGAGTTATTCACTTAAAAATTAACCTGCTATATATGGTCAGGCTAATTTGGTGAGGCGTGTGATGCAGCTGGTGTTGATTTTGTGGCCCTCACACGGCCCAAGGGCTGGACGTTCCCCACCCCTAAATCAGCTCCATCTCTCGGAGAACCTTGATTGTAGACCGTACCTGCCATCTGAAGCGAATTTCATCTTTTTAAAAAATAGATAAAAACCACATAATCATTTCTTCTCAAGGCTATCTATAGCTAATCAAATGCCATTTGGACGCCCAGCCTCGTGAAACTAAAGTCACAAGAGAGGACCGAGATTCATGAGCAGCCCCGGAAGCATCAGTTGTAGACTGTGTGCATTGATCGGAGCTAGATGGCTCTCAAATGCAAGATTTTGGAGAAAAGTGTGATAAAGTTTCTGTGAAGACCCATCACTACTATTAAAAAAAAAAAAGTATTTCCTATAGCCCTTTGGTGATATTGCACTGTTTTTATAAATAGCTTTTGGTATGTCTCTATGCACATACATGGGCCCTTCAGTAAAATTGGCCTCAAACACCTGCTATTGCTCTGTGGCTCCCGTTGTTCATAAAGGGCACGTAAAGGTGACTGTTGCCCTGAAACGCGAACTGAAATGTCAAGGGTGTACTTTCTGCTCTGCTAGAGCAACGTGAAAGAAGTGGGTAACCCCCACAAGTTAACATCGAACTGTAGTGATGTTTTTTAATTTTCTAGATCTTGAGTGTCCCTGGACTAACAACCTTTCTATGTCTCTAGCCCCGGAGTGAACTTTCATAAGTGCTTTCTTGTGTTTGCAAGAGAAGTCAGCATGCAAGAAAGGGAATGGCCGGGTCTCACTGCCCCTTGGCCGGATCACCTGCCCTCAAGCTCACGGTCCCTCTTCCGGCCCGCTCCCTGTGTTTATCTGGACTTATCGGAGTCTAGCCAAGTTTGGAATAAACACAAGGAAGAGCAAAGGGCTGCAAACCAACACCAAACACAAATGGCTCCTTATTCCCAAAGGAAGATTTTACTTGCACACAGTGGTGCTTCCTTGAGCCTTATGAGATCAATTGATAATTATTTTTATCCTCACCCAGGGACATTTTTGCATTTATCTTCAGATAGCGCGGGAGGGAGAGAGGGAGGAAGAAAGAGAGAGAAACACCGACGTGAGAGAGACACCAACGTGAGAGAGACACATCGACTGGCTACCACCCACACGACCCCAACCAGGGCCGGGGACAAACCACAACCAAGATACGTGCCCATAGCAGGAACCGAACCTGGGACTCTCTGGTCCACGGGCTGATGCTCTAACTGCTGAGCAAAACCAGCCAGGGCAATACCTGTCTAGTTTTTTACGAGTAACAGTTGTATGACCTTGTGCTTTTTTTCAAACAATGTCTAGCAACATTTATAGTTTTGTTCCAGAAGCACTCACATCCGTAAGATATTTAGACATCGATCTTTTTTAGCCAATGCTCAAGACCACTAGGTCTCCCACTTCTAAGCTGGTGACTTTGCCAAAGTCTTATATTTATGCTGGTGCTTTTGTCTACTTACATTTGGCCAGTGTGTGGGTAGAATTCAGACATCTCTTGGGTGTCACGAAGTAAGCTTTCAACAGCTCAGGCAGTGAGGTTCTTTGAAAAAAAAAAACGATGTCTGAATTGTTTTTTCACTTGGCATTCAGAGCTCAAGTTGGTAACACTGGGTGATATGGAGGGATTCAGTGTCATTTTCTGACAGGGTACCTGTGGAGCCTGCACATGATACACAAAGTGTGGACATCCAGACTTCGTAATAGACTCGTTCGTGTCACGCCACAGGCAACAGCTTCATGCAGAGCAAGGTCCTGCCCCAGATGGTCTGGTTGTGAGCCTGTGTCCTAGCCTAACCCTAACCCTAACCCTCGGTAATACGCACCGTTACTGCTCTGTCTCCCATCATACTGGCTGGATATTCTGCACAATTTTGTGCACCTTATGTGTGCATTCGGGTACCCAGGAGACATTTGGGAAGAAGATCAAGTGTCTAGCAGTGCTACTTGAGATGAAGTAAGAAGAGGACACATGAGTCTGCCAGGCTCTGTGCCAGGCGTGCTCCCTGGGCACCATCTCTAGTCTTAACACGTGAACAGTCTTAGCTCAAGGGGGAAACACAGAGTTTCTGCAGGTTACCCTCTACTTAATGACAAGCAGTTACTGGGTCTCAGGGCTCTTGACTTTTGGGGCAAGTCTCATTTTAAACAGATTCATAGAGCTTTTGCAAAATCCGTTCCCTGAAATGTGAGTTAGAGACGGGGGGTTGGGGGGGAGAACGGTACTCATTTGAGGGGGCACGCTGTTTTTGTAATTCAGCGTCTCTGAAATTGGGATATCTTATGGTTGTTGACTCTAACAGTTTTAATTGGCAGCATGTCCTCAGTGGTACGTGCAGGAAGAGATCACATTTAGGGGTGACCCATAGTGTGTTTGGGTTCTCAGCACTCTTTCGTGTTTGACCGACCTGTCGATCATAGCTTGAGGATTTCTTTTAAAGTGTAACTTTTCGTTCATGCTTTGCATGTATATAGAGTTAGTCAAATTGAGCTCCGGGGTATTTGTGTCTCTCATGAGCCAGTGAGTATGTGCAGATAGACAGTCATCTTGCCTGTGAGCTCAGGTGGTTGGGAGCTGGCACGAGGCCAGACCCCTGCTATGCCACGCTTGCCTTGATGCGAACTAGCTGTGTGTCAAGCAGTTGGCAATTTTCTATTTTAGCTTAAAAATGTGGCATCAGTTCATCTAAAGTGAAATCTCAGATGCGGCCTTTCTGCATTGTGTAGTTATCATTTCTTTATTACCCCTGGATAAAACATCTGTTAAGTTGTCAGACAATGAACGTGGAATTTTCAGAACCTACACTTGGTTTCTAATGCGTGTAGGATGCGTGAGAACAAAATCCTGGTGCGTATTCCATTGTAAAGTCAGCAAGTTGGAGAAGGCTTTCCTCGTCGTCCACGTCTGAGTTGGCATTGCCGCCCCTCCCCCTGCATGTGGCTTCCCTTCGTTTGACTCTTTGAAAGCAATTCGAATAGTCTGAGTTTAATGTTTTAGAAGTGAGTAGATATGGGGCTTGGCCACCCTGTCGTTACCTACAGACTGCCTTGGCCGTTGAAAGGAAGACAGACCCCTCCTCAGGCGAAGCTGGGCATCGTTGGTGGCAATTCCCAGTCTTCATGTTTTTCCCACGTGTTATTTCTTTGATCACCTGCAGCTGGCGTTGTTGCCTGATGGTCTGCTATTGGCCTGGGGAACTTACATTATCTACTAAGGGATGAGTTAACGGTGAGACAATTTAGAGAGCGATATAGATGGGAAAGTTGTAATTATGCAATCTAGCTATTAAGCATGACTGGCATTAGTAATAGTTACTCAGTAAATGTCAGCTGTAAGGTGCCAAGTAACTGTGCTGAGTCCTTTAATTCCCCTTTGAGATGAGCATTCTCTCCTCTTCCAAGATAGAACTGAGGCACAGAAATAGCCAACAACTCAGCCTAGGTCACATAGGGGACATAGCTGGACATCTAAGCAAGTGACCGCCACACCTGATACTCACTTCCCAGAAGGAAAAACATCTGAGCCGAAAAAGACGAGGGAAGGCTTCCCAGATGAGATAGAACTAAAACTTGAGACCAAGAATTTGTTTAGGAGACAAGCAAAGAAAAAGGCTCAGCACGGAATAGGTCACAACAGCCCAGGTCGGGGGAAGGTCACCAGTGAGTGGGGGTGTTCCGGCGCGTGACGTGCATTCCTGCGAAGGGTCTGTGGGACCCGCAGGGCAGGGTGCCGGGTGCGGTTCCATGGGCCAGTCAGCTGCCTGGTTCTCCAGGCGAATAAGGGCTCTGTGCTGAGCCTCCGTGACCCCATCTGGAAGAGTCGGGGCACCAGCTGTTAGCACCCCTTCCTGACGTGTGACAGTGCGCCTCCCGCACTCAAGCACTGACCCACTGCCTTCTCTGTGGAGACATTTAGAACCAGCGACTCACTGAGGGCTTGGAGCCGCGTTCATCCCGACGACGGGCAGCTCGACCCATCGAATCTCAGGATGTGTGGTCAGGAAGGGTAAATCAATTGTTCCCAACCCTTCCAAAACTGCCACCAAAAAAAGGGGGTTTGGATATCTTTAACAATATGAGCTTACCTCAGAAAAACAGACATTGATGGCGAGATCTGAGAGATTTGGTTTGGTAATATTTCCTGGTGTGAATTGTTATTTTATTGTGTTAAAATCCAGTCCTGCTCTAAGTTCCGTAGACTCCGTACTATTTGGATTCCTCCGAGTGTTGACTGTGCTCAGGTGGTTGAAAGACGAAGGCCTCTGTAGTGTGCCGTTCATCTCAGCTGCGGTAGAAAGTGAAATCCCCCAGGTTCTCATCGCAGTCACTTTACGGTCGTTTTGTTCGACTGCGAGATTAAAGAACTGGATCTCAATTTACAAGTGTGGATTGACATTTCGTACCTGGCTCTTCTCCAAGAGTTGATCTCATTTTATCCAAAAACATTAGAAATCAAGCACGCCAAACCTGGACTGACATAATTTGATTTGCCACATTAGCTAAGTCGCAATTAACTGTGTTAAACGTCCATGGTCTGCCTAGAGCAAGTGTTCTGTGTGATAATTCTCTAAGCAAAATCTCGCTTCATTTTCCAAATTACAAAAAAACCAACCTGTTTTTTCTCAGAAGCCTTTATTCTGTATATTTAAATCCGTGAAAGTGTCAGTGTTTTATTTATTTCCCCTTCCCTGCAATGGCTAAGAAAATACTTAGAGTTTTCCCATAATACCCTTGTGCAGCTTCAGTTGTCAAGTGGCATTTCACTTAAATTGAAAAATATAGAATAAAGCAGCAAGCGAGGGCTTAAAACTTACAGCTCACTTCTGCAGCTGTTGTTTAAATCAAAAACTACCAGCAAATCCTTCCGCGTCCGGGACACGAAATTGGTGACAGTCTGTGTTGCATGAAGTTGCTGGAAGTCTCTGGGGATGAAGAAAGAGTAAGCCTGACCTTGAGGGAAGTGATTAAGGTCGCAATATCCCCTTTTGTGAATGAAAAGGAAATGCAGACCTCCCTTCTGGACCTAATCTAAGACTTTATAGGAAGAAGGAATACATTTATAAAATTTTAATAGAAAACAAAGAGTTCAATTAATTTAGTCCTACCATGCAGAAAGCTGACTGGCATTCTGGGAAGTTCTCATTTTTACTCATCACTGTTGTTAAACTATACACTTGAATGAGTTTGAAAATGCATAGAAAATTGTTTCATGTTTCCTCCTTTGTTTTTTTTTTGGTTTAGTTTTGTTTGGTATTATGATTTTAGTTATTTAATTATGATTTAACCACTCAGTTTGTTTCAATGTTTAAAAATAATACGTGGTGGTTTTAACAAGCGAAATAACCTCATTCCCTTGAGATATCTATTGTTAACACCCTGGGCTATATTTTTATGGTATTGCTTTAAAATAAATAACAGTGTGGGGAAAAGCCATAAGTGTGTGCTTTAAAATCTGTGTTCTGAGATGATTTACAAAATATCCCTCTCAAATGACAGTGAAGGATATGCCTTGTACATTCCCAAATAAACAAACAAAAAAATTTATTGTCTCTTCCACCAAAAAACAAGATTTTTCTTCTTCTTAATTTTTGCCTGCCTTGAATTCGACTGTGTGCCGTTAGCAGGGTTTCCTCGAGCTGAGCGGGGACCAGCTGGGGAAACTGAGCAGGTACATGCGTGGGTTCAGTGCTGGCTCCTTTCCTAGTTCGGTGTAGCGCCCGTGGGCATGGCTAGTTCAGCGGCTGTGCAGAGAGACCTGGCTCCTCCCGGCCTCCGGAGCAGCATTGGTTGAGGTCCTTTCTTGAGATGATCACATATGTACGTGCTCCGAGGTTGAAATTCTACGTGTTGATGATTTGTTTCATTTTCTGTAAATCATTGCTCCATTACCTTAAGGCAATACTGAGAAAAAAACTGGTTATGAGGGCCAGTGTTCTGAGTGGTAGGCGTCTTTTCTCAATGAGATAAATTGAGATGAGGGTTGGTGAAAACCACATGTTGATTTCAGCTCTCTGTCAAGGGGCACCGAGAGGGTGGAGGGTCTTTGGAAAGAAGGGCTGGAGCTCCCATCCCGGGGTTTGCTGGAGCTGCCTGCTGCCCAGAGCTTGTGGATTTGAAGGGGAGGAGTCAGGAGAGGCTCTCAGCTCTGTCTGTGTGTCTCGGAGGGTCTCCAGCTGTCTGGAGTGGACTGCAAAGACGGAGTAGGAAACAGCCTCGTAGGAAGTACGTGCACCTTCTGGGAGGAAAAGTAGAAAAGACTGTCTTGCATCGTTTATAGAGATAACTTTATTTAAAAAGATGATGGAGCCCTGGCCTGTTTGGGTCAGTGGTTAGAGTGTCGGCCTGCAGACCAGAGAGTCCCGTTTCAGTACCCACTAAGAGCACGTACATCGGTTGCAGTTTGTCCCCGGCCCCGGTTGGGGTGATGTGGGTGGCAGCCACTCGATGTGTCTCTCTCACATTGACGTTTCTCTCGTTCTCTTCCTTCCGCTCTCCCTCCGCTCTATCTGAAGAGAAATGCAAAAATGTTCTTGGGTGAGGATTAAAAATAAAATTAAAAAGGTGATGGAAATTGTTGATAAGAATTACAACAAATTTTTTTTTTTTTAAACTCAGGTTTAATTTTGGAATGGAGATTGCCTTAAACGTTTGGTGGGAAATTGACTGCTGCGATGTATAATAGTATTCCTTTGAAATCTGCTGTGAGAATGAGCTGCTTTTTAAAAAGCAAACGAGGGATCTCAGTGTGATGATAGGCAAGTTCATGTTGATGTAGGCGCACTAGGAGATATTATTTGTCTTCCTAAAGTGTTTGCTGTTATTTTAGATAACCTAAGGCTTATCCTCATGTCATACAAGGATAACAAGGGTAAAGAGAAATCCATGGAAAATTGACAGGTATTTATTTTAGCCATTAGCTATGGAGACCTTCTCGACCAGTTCTGTTCAAGCTGTCTGCAGGAATCCAAATCTATTTAACGTGTTTTCTACCCCTCACTTTTGCCCAGTTCTTCTGTATGAACCAATAGCTTTAAAGTGGTAATAAGAAAGGTATCAGGAGGGAGGCTGAGTTCACACCAGCTCTGGAAAACATTTAGTTCATGGAAGGAAGGACAAATTCACATGTATTGTTCCTTCTTTTCCTTAGGATATTCCTGCCGGTTGGTGTCACAGAATATGGCCCTTATTCTACTGAAGGAGGATTCTTTGGATGTAAGTAGTTTTTCAAAAGTAGCATTTGATGTACTTGTATTGAACTCTTTGTTTCTACTATGACTGATTGTCAGGGTTTATTTTTTTTTACTAAACTGTTGTAAAACTGTGTTTCTGCGTGTTTTTCTTTTTATGAATGAATATCGTAAAGTCATAAATTTAAACATCAAAACAGTAAGCTGAGAATATTGCTACATGAGAATACTTAATATTTTACTCACCTAGGATTGTTCATGTAAAATGGGATAGTTTTAATCCGGTTTAACTTCCTGTTATGATTTATGTTATGTGGTGATGGTTAACTCCAGTGTTGGTTACTAAGGAGACTCGTAGGATTTTCTTTCTAGTACAAACTTGAAAATAAAGATAGCATTCAAGTGTCAGGAGCTGTTTAAATATATGTAGTGAGAGGATACATGTGCACTCAGTTCTCTGACACCCAGTGCCACCAGCTCACAGAGAAATGGACGGCGTGGTTCTGTGAGCGTTCGATCCGCACCCAGCGCATGGCCTAAAGCCACTGATGGGACGGGGTGGGAACTGATCGGAGCTAACCAGTGATCTGGGAGGTGGTTTGACATGAAAATATGAGCTGAACAATGAGATTTATTTGCTAGGACTTTTAACAAGGGCTTGTTTCTGCCTGACTGGTGTGGCTCAGTGGACTGAGCATCGTCCCAGGGACTAAGAGGTCCCGGTTCAATTCCCAGTCAGGGCACATGCCTGGGGCTCGGGCTTCATCCCCGGTGGGGGGTGTGCAGGAGGCAGCCGATCAACGTATCTCTCCCACGTCAATGTTTCTGTCTCTCTCTCTCAAAAAACAATAAAAATATTTTTAAAAAAACAAAACAAAAAAAAGCAAGGGCTTGGTTCTGGCAGGCGCCCACCGCCACAGTGCCAGTCAGGATACTTAACGGGCAGCCCTGGGAGCAGGTGACAGGCTCGGCTACCACTTTAAACAGAGGCATATAATAAATACAGAGATCTCTGTGCTTGGAACTGGCGAGGCCGTGGACCCCACTGAAGGCCAAGGCACTGGACCTCCTCAGACCTCCGAAGGCACCATTGACGATAGCGCCCCCTGGCTGAGAGCATCAGGCTTTGTCTCAGGGAGTCCTGTGTCTCTGCCCGAGGAAGCCCTGACTCAGGTCGGCCCTCATCTCTGGACTCAGATGCTCTGCTCTGGGCTGCTGGGGAAGCCCTCCCCGCCCCAGTCCCCTTCTCCCCGGCACTTCCTGTCCCAATTGCCGGTATTTGTTTCTATCAAACTTTTCATCTTTGGAAATAATACATATTATTAATATGTAATTATGATATATAAAATATATAATAATCATAATAGTATTATATATTATAAAGTAATATAAGATAGTAACATAAGGTTTACCCTCCTAACCATTTTTAAGTGCACCGTTCAGTGGTATTAAATATGTTCATATTGTTCAGCCATCACCACCATCCATCCCCATAACTGTTTTTGTTTTACAAAACAAAAAGTCTACACCCCTTGCCCTGGCCGGTTTGGCTCAGCGGTTAGAGCGTCAGCCTGCGGTCCACAGAGACCCGGGTTCGATTCCCGCTAAGGGCATGTACCTTGGCTGCAGTTTGTCCCCGGCCCTGGTTGTGTCGTGTGGGTGGCAGCCACTCGATGTGTCCCTTTCACATCGATGTTTCTCTCTCTTCCTCTCTCTCCTTCCCGCTCTGAGTAAAAAATTGAAAAAATGTCCTCGGGTGAGGATTAAAAAAAAAAAAAAGTCTATACCCCTTAAACCACAACTCCTCCCCTCCTACTCCTAAATCCCTGGTAACTATCACTGTACCTTCTGTCTCTGTGAATCTGACTCTTCTAGGTACCTCATATAAGTGAAATCATACAGTATTTTTTGTCTCTTTGTGTCTGATGTATTTTATTTAGCAAAACGTCCTCCAGGTTCATCAAGTTGAAGCATGTGTCAGAATTTGCTTTTTTTAAAAGGCTGAATAATAGTCCATTGTATGTATGTACCACATTTTGTTTATCCATTTAGTTGTCAATGGACACTTGGGTTGCTTCTACCTTGGGGCAATTGTGAATAATGTTGCTATGAAGACAGGTGATGAATCTCTTTTTGAGACCCTTCAATTTTTTTGGCCATACTATCCTCAGAAGTGGAATGGCTGGATCATGTGGTGATTTTGTGTGTAACTCTTTGAGGAACTGCCTGCCACACTATTTTCTACAACTGTTGTTCATTTGACATTCCCACCAACAGTGCACAAGTGTTTCAGTTTCTCCATATCCTGACCAACACTGTTCTTTACTTTTATTAAAAATTTAAAAAATTATTTGATGGTAATATTCAGATGGCTATGAGGTGGTACCTCAGGGTGGCTTTGATCTGTATTTCCCTAATGATTGGTGATGCTGAGCATCTTTTCATGTGCTTATTGGCCATTGGTATGTCTTCTTAGGAGAAGTAGTCATTCCTTTGCCCATTTTTAAATCAGGTTGTTTGTGGTTATTTTGTTCTTGTGAAATACTGTATATGTAGTCTGTCTCCATCTAGTTCCTTAGAACATAAGGTCCATGGAGCAAAAGTTTGATTTTTCTTTTTTTTAAACTGGGCATTTCTACCTTCAAGGCTGTGCTTTGCACAAATTAGATATCCCGTAAATGTTTGAATGAATGAATGAAAAACGTTAAGATAGTGTTCCAGTTACCAGTTAGAACTTCTATCGAAAAGGTCATGCCGATGAGGCAGTGCCCAGAGTAGCCGAGGGCCGAGTGCAAGCTGACATTAGGAGGGTGACAACCGAGGACGCCAACGCAGCTCGCTGGTGGACAGGAGAGTGCAGTGCTGGTGAGGGAAATGCCCAGACCCCGGGAGGCATCCCGTAGCCCTGTGTGCACCCCCGGGGTGTCTGTGCTGGAGCCTCCTGGTTTTCCGAGAGGTCCCATTCGGAGGCCTCCGCAGTCTTGAAATAAACCTCTTTTTCTGGAGGTGACGTAGAAGTGAGCCTGTATTTTCCTTTTATACCAGGCATTCTCTGGAATCCAAGAAATGGACTTGAAGTCTGCACAGCAGGTTAAAGCTTAGGGCACAGATCGAGGCGTTGGGCTTCCCTTGGCCGAGGGCTGGTTGTGAAGCCAGACAAGGTTTTATGGGTGTGTGCCTGACTTCCCTTGGTAGCCTGTGAAGAGCGCGGCTTCCTTAACCAGTTTTGAATATCTTTTAGCATAACGTCTGGAAGGTACTCAGCATCTACTGAGCGGAGGTTCGATTTCTGCGTACTTTTTTGTTCCCTGCTCGAAGGGGCACTCCATACTCTGACCAGTGCCCCTCTTCCCCTTCCACCTCCTCTTTCCTACTTATTCCCCCTAATTTTTCACTTGGGTGAAAGGCATTCCTGTCGCATTAAAGTTTCCCTCGGTGGGTCTGTATGAAAGCAGAGCGCTGGAGCAGGGAGTCCGAGACAGAGTAAACCGGCAGAGCTCCAGCGGGGTTTGTAACGTTGCCGGGCTCTGACGATGAAGCAGAGAGGACAGACGAAGGACGTGGCCCAAGACTCAGAAGCCTCGGGTCTGGCCTCCCTTACTTCCCCTCTCATGTAGATTCCAGGGGAACGGAGGGGCTCACCTCAAGACCCGGAGCTGGCGTCTGTCACCTTCACTGGGCCAATAAGTATGTCCAGGCCAGGACTCCGAATGCTTATACATGATTAGGATTCATCCCTCTGTTTTGGGTGTTTCAGCTGTTGCCAAAATAAGGTCTGCAGTCTGTGATATAGATGAGATCAGTGGTCTTTGAAATGAGGATTGAGTTCTGTGTGGTGATGTACACCCCAAGGGGGCACTAGATGATCATATGTTAGAAGAAAATGTGATTTTTCTTTTATTAGGTTAAAAAAAGTACCAAGAAATCAGCTTGACGGATGATAAGGTGCGGGCTGCAGCGGCACACCCAGTCCTTATATCTGGCACACTCCCCAGAAGCGGGGCTCGGGGACGGCGGGAGGAGGGAGGGCTGCAGTTCCCCACGGGACAGGGCTTAACATGGCTCTCGCCCCTTTGTCTGCGTTTAGCCCCTTGTAAAACATCGCCCTTTATGTGTGCCGGTTACATGGATTTGTGGACTATATTTAGTGTTGGTTAAACCGACTCTCATAAGGTACTGGCTTAAAAGGACTCCTATAAAAAAATAATTTAAAAAAATGAATTCAGATAGCAGCAATAGTGTAAGCAGAAGCTACAACAGTGTGGCACCGCTTGACCTGTGTGCGGGTTCAAGCTCTCCTTCAGCTACTTAATGAGTTAAAACAATGATCGGCTCTGACAGTTTAAACAAATTTCAAAATTACCCACAGGCTATCATCATTAATCACGAATCCTTCCCGAGATGTCTACAGCATCTTCAAATACAAGCTGTGGTAACATGAAACCATCTTGGAGTAGTGAGACTTTAAAAATGAAGACTCCTACGGATGAGAATAAAAATCAACAGTTTTATCAGCAATTTATAAAAAACGCGTGGAATTCAAACCAGCTACTGTTTTTAGTTTCACAAAACCCACTGCTGGCTGTTGAATAATAAACGTCTTTTGATATTTGTTAGTAACAGGCCAAGAGCGCCAAGCCATTTGGGGGGCATTTGTTTTCCTGCTTGTGTCACGGAGAGAAAATAACATGGTAACAATTGAAATGTATATAAATGTACATGAATAAGACAGCTATAGGAAACCTTGCTAGGATTTTCTAGGAAACAATTGTGTGAGCAAATTAGGAAATATAGAAGATTTGTTACATATTTGGATGGAAGTGTAGCTGTTTCTAACATGTGCAACTTTTCACCTGGTGTGTTGCAAGGATTTTTAAAACATGCAACACCTGACTATTTAGTCGGGGGCAGTGACCTCTTTTCCCTTAGACTATCAAATTAAAAAAATGACAGTGGCCAACATAACAATAGCTGTCTGGTGTGAATGAATCAAAATTATACCTTTTTTTTTTTTTTGTCAGATCG